AACAGACAGCAAAACAAAACAAAATGGCCAGGGGAGCCGCTACAGCTTAGCCAATTACAGCGGCCCCCCTAGTTATGAAAAGTCTCAGTACCAGCCAAAGAGAATTAGTGTTGATTGATGATCCCAATAATAGCTGTCAAAACAAAACTAGAGCCATGCTCAGATTGGTCTCCTTTTGGGGGCTTAATTTAAAGTTTTTCACCAGTGACCTTTTCACAATTGAGCCACCCTTCCCCTTCCCGCCCACTCGAGGTATCAGATCCTGTTTTTTTTTTATTTATTATTCTTAGTTAGTTTAAGTTGTAAGGTTATGCATCAAATCTGACACTCAGGCAATCTGCTCCAAACATAAAGCTGTTGCAAAACTCTATGTTCAAAACACTGGACACATCAGACAAATTTTCATACATGTAACAATTTTGCCTATGGACTCCCACATGTACGTTCATTGCTGTGCCCTGTAAGCAGTAGGCTTTCTGTTGCACTATATATTATTGATGTCTTACTTGCTCAGGATTTGAGTCTAATGCCCTCCATATGTGACATGTGCCATCTCCTGATCCTAAAAAAAAAATATATGTTTTAAAAGAATTGCAGTAGATCCATCGCCCCTTCCCGTCGTAAGAAGACAGAGGCTTGTATTTTGCATTTATAAGGGTGGCTATTGGAAGATGGGTGCTAATCAGTTACAAAATGTAATCTGATTAGAGATAGGAAGGCACCACCTGAGAGGGTGATGCTATTCCCCAAAACAATAATCATGCTTATTAGAATAGATACCGTACGTCACTGACATTACAGAGTGATGTCGCAGATTACCTGTACAAATTATTGCATCAGTTGGGTGGAATCTAATGGAGTTCACTGCAAAATTAACAAGAAGAAAGTGTTATAAAATATTAATTTAAAAAAACAACATATCATCTAAGTAGGGTAGCTGGTAAAAAATGCTCTGAGCATACCTCCCTTTCATTCAATATTGGTGTGCAATCTATGACCCTTTGTTGCCATTGATAATTGAATGGATGGACAAACTTAAAACTGACTTGAATGGTGTAAAATATGCTATATGTAACTTACATTATACAGACATGTTGCATGGGCAGACATGATACATGGGTTTCCCTGGTAATTTAGCAATTAATCAACTCTATGTACATGTACCTGATCCATTATGGCCCAAGTATTTTAAAAGACACTGCCCTGTTTCTACATCCCAAAGTCTGGCAGAACGATCTGCAAGAAACGAAATGCTGTAAAA